CACATATCGGCTTGTGGCACGTAGCCTTTGCCCGAACTATTTAGCTTCTCATAGAACGTCAGTGTGTCGTTTACGCGGTACAGATTTTCCATCGCCTCGCGATCTTGGTCTTCCTCCTGACGCTTAGTCCTTCGGAATACCGAGTATTGTCTGTTCCGCGCTTGTCTGTATCGCTCCACATTCAATCTCGTGCGGTGTTGCAGCATTCTCGCCCTTGCTGCATTCTTCTCCTCTACTAACAGTTTGCATTCGCCTTCAAACCAGTCATTTCTTCGGTCCAGGATTGCAGTACCTAGTGCCGCTGCAGCAGTACTACCTATGGCTGAACGGATTTGCCTCCAGCCATCTTCAACAGAAGCTGCGCCAAGCTGCTCTTCCGTGGGTAGTGCAACTTCCAGCTGCTGCGCGTAGTTCTGGGCAACTCCGGCGTCCCGTAGTTGCTCAATGTTGGGTCGCGGCGTTCGACTTCGACGGGTGTTATGCACCGTCGAGAGTTTTGAGCGCATGCATACTGCAACTAGGTAGTGGTCCGAATCTATATTCGCTCTGCGGTACGTGCGGACGTTGATAATGTCGGAGAAGAATTTCCCGTCGATTAGAACGTGATCCATTTGGTTTTCTGTGTGTTGGTCAGATGATATCAAGGTAAAAGTAAAAGTATGGACGTATGTCAAAATTTGTTCCAATCGAACCGTCAAAATGTACCACTTTGCTCGATTGGAACAACTTTTCCAGTTTTGTGATGACAGTCGTCCATGCTTTAACCAGAGTTGATAATAGAAGATTTACGCAGACTGAAACCAAAATCTACCTATCGAACTGTCAAACCATCTACCTATCGAGCATAGTAGACAAACTGACTCTGTTGCGTGGGAAGTATTGTGTGCACAAATCAGGATAACAGAGAAAACTTTCACAACCCAGGTGAAGTCATCCGAGGTGTAAACAAAAACAAAGGTTACCAAAATGAACAAAAGCCCATTGATCGACATCAGGGTTCCAAGTTTCACTCTGCGTAACTCTTTTATTATCAACTCTGACTTTAACTAGCTTAACTGCTCCGGTGAAGCCACACGGTAAGAAAAAAGTACCCAACGACCAGTTCACTTTTACCTACTTTTGACTAGTTTGTCTCCTTTTCTCCTCCTTTGTCAGAAACGGAGGAGCAAAACCACCCAACAACACCGTTCGAAAAATTCATGTAAATTTCTGCGAAATATAGCGCACATAAATTTAACGCCAGATTTGGCATAAATTTACGCGATATTTCGTGTAAATTTTAGCGCAATATCGCATAAATTAGCAATATTGTATGCAAGCTTGTAAACGATTTCACTGTTTATGCCAAGTGTAGCTCAAAATTAAACGAAGGGAGATTTTACGCGATAGTTAAAATTCAGAATTTTTTTCTGTGACTACTTTTGGGTAGGGGAAATGACGGCTTCGGCATGACAGACTATTTTCGGCAACGCAAATTGAAACACTATTTTCACTGGATTTTCTTACGAAAACACTTCGCTGAATGCATGCAAACGATTCTTTATGCTTTCAGCTTCAATTTGACTATATTTTTACCACTGAGAAAAAGCAATCTAGCAAGGTTTTCTTGAAATGCAACACACGCACTACAAATTGTAGCTGATTTCGAGTTGCCGATAATAGAACAGCAGATTTACATGCAGTTCAAATGGAACGGTTGCCGAAGAAAAACTGGTTGCCGACAATACTCGCTCTCACTAGAGAAGATTGGAGCTTTGTAAAAGCGTTTCAAAACAGTTTTTGACAATTCTTTCGACTGCAATTGTTAGAGCAGCTGGCAGCAAAAGATTGTAAACAAACCAATACTGCATATGTGTGTGTTCCTTAGAGAAAAACGCTATAGAAAGAAGGTCGCTGCTTAGGTTGCCGAGAATACGTAAATTCCCCTACAACTAACTTACTTTTGAGTAAAAAGCTAGTGGGAAATTCCATACGAATTGCACACAAGTAAATGAAAACTACTTTGACCAGCTTTACCTACTTTCAAATAGACCAATCTACAATAATCGATTCTCTTGATCACCTCTCTCTTTCGTTAATAACTCGGCTTCAAAAACATGTTCAGCTGTTCTTATCGTCCAATACGCTTAATAATACTTTCTTTTAGCAGACTATGTAGACAAAATAGCCCTAAATATGAATGCAGCCAAGTAACTAACGAAAGAGAAAGTCGATGAAGAGAATCGTCTATTTTGAAAAGTGACGCGAGAAATGAACTTATTCTGAATTATAAAGAGACGACACGTCAAAATTTGAGCAATCGATTATCTGCAAAAGTCCTAGGAAAAGCTGGGGGGGACGTGCTGTCAAATTAGCCTACTGATCATTCTTGTATGAAACTGGTTCCAAACGTAAACAAACGCTGCAGGTTTCTTATGGCTTGTTTACGTTTGGAACCAGTTATGCGAGGTTATAATTAGACCGTGCCCTTGCTTGATCAATTCATACTTATTCTTCAAACACAAATTTATGGCATCCTTAAACCATTACCTTTATGAAGCATGAAAAATGCGCATGATGGGTTTGTGAGGTTGTTATATTGCTGATTGCATCTGAAGCTGGACTGCCCCAAATATGCAAAAAGTGTGATAGAAGTGCACGTTTCCATCAGATAGGTTTGGTGTCGAATCTACCTAAGATGCAGGAAAATTTTGCTTTGCTCTTGTGATATGAATGTGAAAAAAAAAACTTAGGCGTCCATCTCTTAGTTCGCCTTTTTGTCCACCTAAAATATTCATAAGTATTACGATCAAGAGTTAATGAGCAATCAGCAAAGCACCCTATACACTAGCCACCCCGCAATCTGATGCTATCATAATTTTCAGCAATGCAATGTCAGAAATGCTCACGAACCCCCAACATTTGCCAGAAAACTTACTAACTCATGGTGTCTTCCAAATTAGCTTCAAAGTTGTATTTTTTTTATCAATCGCAGATGCACTCACGTTTAATAGATAGAAACACGATTGATTATGATTTTGAAGATTTCCTGCAAAAAGGTGGAGAGCGAAACGAATAGATAGATTTAGATGCAAAAGATGAAAAAATATTTTTCGTAGATTGATTCGTTAGTGTGAGATTTTTCGACCATCACCCCTCGACTTTTTAACTAGTGAAAATGTCCAGTTTGGTGTGAAATGCGCAATAAAATTTCTGTAAGTGGCAATCGCAATCAATCATTTATTGATCGAGAAGAATAAATATCACCATTGGCCACATTTTTATTGTTTTAAAGTCACTAATTGGTCACTGTTTTCGTTATTTTAGTCACTAAAGTCACTACTAGTATATCACATAACCACCACCCTGACAACTTGATCCAAAGATAGAACGGTAGGTAGTAATTCGTTGTAATCTCCATACAAATTTCGAACCATTTGTACGCTAATATTTTGAGATTATCAATCAAACTAGCGGGCGTTTTTCGACATTATGCAATCATTTGATGTTTTGATAATATTTTGTACTTGCAAGTTACAATAAGAGGTAGTAAAGCTTGTGTTTTACTCATAAAACCTGACAAATTCACTATCGGAGAGTCGCAATCAGTGGTTTCATGATCGGTGAGTTCTCACTCACAATGAACGCTTACCGATAAAAAAATTGCTGATTGTGACACTGACACGCTGATTGTGACGCTGACTGTGACACTTGTCCTTCAAAAATGCATTGGTTAATGAGACTGTAAAAAATCATCAAAGGTTTTATGCTGGAAAACAAGGAAGACATGGAAAAGGAAAAGGAAAAGGTCCCATCTACATTGATCGATTGTCCTCGTCAATGATTTCTTCGGGTCACCGCAGAGCTATATAAGCACATTGCCGGCTACTTTCCCAATGCAGTTTGATTATTGATGTAAGTATGTAGCACCAAGATGATTTTATAGACTGCACGAAAACCACACAGGCCTCAGATAGCCTACCCAGTTAAGGCACGATATTACCAAGCCGGAGGCGGTAGGTTCGATTCCCGGTCCGGTCTAGAACATGTTTCGGGCTGGAAATACTTTTGACTTCCTTAGGCATAGAGCAGCATTGTGCTTTTGCCACACAATATTAAAATTTCCATTGATTGGCTAAGAAAGCTCTCAATAATCCGCAAATGCTTCAAAAGAACACTAAGTTGAAAGTAGGCAGAAGCTCGAGGAAGAGCGTCAAGACCAGGAAGATATTTAAATATTTTAAAATTAATTGACCAGCAAGTTCGGTGCCGCCCGGGTTAGAATACGGGAAGACTTCCAAACCTACCAAACCAGAAAGCAATCGAATCGAGCCTTCACTCTGTTCCACTTGTTAAATGGAAGACTTTGAATACACTTTCATTCAGTTTGTAGCGAAAAAACTGCTTTTGTTTTTCTTGAAAATTCTGTTATTAAAAATTTGACAAATTTTAAGCAGAAGTAATAAAATTTTATTTAAAAAAAAAATATTTAGTTCAACACTGAATTTTTCAAAAACCGATTGTATTCCAATTAATTATAAAAATCGAAAAATTACAACCTGATTCCGTCGACCAATCCCGATTAATCCCACACCTGCACACAGCTCACGACACACGACGCGAGTGCTGACTACTGCAGCTTCAGAGTCTTAGCCAATCGGTACGCTCGGTTCAAAGAGCAAAAAAGAGAACGACGGAGAAGGGCAAAAGGCAAAACAGCAGAAGAGAGAGAGAAAACAACTGCACGCGTGCTCGCTCCCCCTACCATTCGATCATTCTGTCCAAGCGTGAACTCACGCCGGCTTTGACACTCATATAAAAAGCCACGCTCTATCGGTGGCCATCAGTTTCACAGAGAATATCTCCGGGACAACGGTGTTATAACGGCGACGAGTCGCTATATCCGTACGAGCAGTTTGCCGTCTCTCAGTTCAGTTTCAGTTCTCGGTGTGGTTGGTGACAGCAAAACGACGATACATCTTCGTATACGTAATATTTTTGTCTAGAAAAAGTTTAGTGTCCAGTTGGCACCCATCATCGGTTTCCGATTTCCGATCGCGTTTGCAAAACTACCAGTTAGCCAACCTTTCAGTTGATTTTTCCTAATTCCGTGGAATAGCTGTATGGTATTCGTCAGTGATCGTGAAGCGTTAACCTTGGTGCTACATCATTCTTTTCGTTCGAAATAAAGTTTCGAGAATTTCTCTAAAGGTACGTCCTCTTCGCCTGACAAATCATCGAAAATTGTCATCTTGTGACTATCTGACTGTTGTGTTTGAGTAAGGTGATAAAAAAAAATCAGATGCAATCATTGCGAGTTCGATGGAAAAATTTTACCGTCTATTTTTTGTTCGCATCCGCATGGGAATTTTCCTTTCCCAACTGATGGTCGAGCGAGCTATTTATATGAAATGGCTACCTCAATGAGAAGAAAGAGAACAGGAAAAAAAGCCGTCTGCCAATGTCTCATTCCCGTCCGTCCGTCCGTCTGTGACGAAGGTAGACAATCTGAACCCCAAAAAAAGGACAATGATCTGTGTCATAGAGCAACCACAGGATGCAGGGATGCTATTCAGATGTGGCTGGTTGCTAAGCGAGTCAAAATGCAAAATCAAAATCAAAATGTCATCAATATGTCGTTCCATGATTGAAGACTTCAAGGTTTTTTTTCTTTTTGTTTCTGCATGAGCATTGATTGCAGTGGTAGCATGCTTGGAAAATTTTGACAGTCAACGCGAGATAACGACACAATAGCCAACATTGAGTCAACAGTAAGCATTCAAAAGGGCCAATACCGCATCATGTTTACACGCTATTTCAAAACTACCAAAATTTGGGTAGAATCCACCCAGATCGGTCAAAACTGAACCTACGCAAAAATGGGTAAACTGTGTAGGGAGTGACAAGTTGACAGATGAACAACGTCGAACGGATTCATGTCAATGTTGTTCATTGACATGTTTTCCAAAATTATGAAACTATGCGCTATTATAATAATAACTTTCATATGTAAGATGCAAGAAGAGAAGGTAAAGTTTGTGTATGAAACGTAAAACCTGTCAATTTTGCTTTCAGAGGGTCACAATTAGCGATTTTAGCTGTAATTATAGATATTTGAATCAAATTCCACGGGCGTTGAAAATTTTACTAGGTTGGTTGATTTTTGATTTAAAATCTGTGATAAATATTAGAAAATGTTGAATGATAAATATTCATTCCAGATTCTAGAAAATGTCTTCAAGTATATTTATAAGACCAGAATTTCAAAAAACCTTAATTGGTCAAGTTAAAATCTGTGTAAAATATCCATGTTTCAGAAAGAGCCTCTGAATTTTACAATTTATTTGACACTGAAGATAAATCTGCCCAGGATCTATTGAGTGCAAGTGAGTGAGTGAGTGAAATTAAATAACTAGGAAATACAATTTTTGCATTATAAAATGCATTCTTTTCTTAAACATTCCTTAGCAAGAGAATCCCTATCGCTAGTAAATCATTGTAGATTTATTAGAAACAATTGAAGAAGATAGCCCCAAAACATAATATTCAAAAAATTACGTTGATATTATTTCCTTTCCGGAAAAACATCGAAATCACCTAATTAATAATTATTTTCAGTACTAGTATTAGACCCAAGCACCCACTTACCCAAATAAGTGACCCTTCCCGCCTTGAACGGGCCTCATCAAAACTTACACTGAAACAAAGACCATAGTTAGGAATACTATTTTGCAGAAAACACTTATCTTCAATATAACCACGCTTATTACCGTTCAATATACTATGATTTCAGTATAGTTAACTATGAATGTAAGAAAATTTACTGTGATTTTGAAAAAAACTACTATGCTTGCTCAAAATGCATATTGATTGTGATAGAAATAATAATAAAACTAGATGAAATTGTTTTCTTCAAAAATCTATTAGTGAGCGAATTTAATTTAAACCAGCAATAGCAAGGCTGGTAGCAGGTCACTTTTTAGTGACTTTGTCACTATTTTGAAGTCAGTCACTAAAAAGTCACTTTTCAAACCAAAAAGTCACTTTTTCACAACTAAAATAGAGTGAAATGGAAAAATATCAACAACATTTTTAAATTAAGTACTTGGCACTAAGGAAGTTATAAAAGAATTCTGGGATGATTTCTGAAGATACTTCCAAGAGAACTCTAAACAGTTCAAAATAAATTCCTAGAAGAATTCCAATGGAATCTACTTTTGAGGGTTCAATCTCAAAGGAATTCTTCGAAGAGTTTCAAGGGTATTCTGTGATGGATTTTTGTTTTGAGAATTCTGAGGAGAATACGAATTGAATTTCCAATATAATTCAGGGGAGGAGTCCAAGTAAATTCTGAGAAGAATTCATGTAAATTTAAAATGGCTTTATGGGAAGAATCTTCATGGAAATCCTGGAACAATAATTAAAAAATCAAATATAATCTACTTAAACTAATTATGATTTATTAATTCATGCATGAAGTTATCAATTAACATAGTTGAAAATGCTTAACGTCAAATATCAAACTTAAAATGAACATTTTATACGATAGATGAGGAGATGAAAGTATAGAGTTGACTACGGTAGTGTGAAAATTGTATACAGAAAGTAGAAGTAGAAAGCGAGCAAAGGACATTTTTTAGGAAGGTACGAATCAGGTATATCAATCAAGTAGATGCTTACGTCAGTGTGGTGGGGTGAAACACCCCTCACTATCCCTCATCAACGGATGAGTTTGGTAAAAGGGATGCTCTATCCGATTCGTACCTTCCTCAACAGTGTTTTAAGCTCGCTTTTTACTTTCTATATACAATGTTCACACTGCCGCAATACAACGGAACTATCAACTCTATACTTTACTTAAATTTTCACTTTAAGTCTGTTATTTGACGTTCAGCATCTCCAACTACGAAAATAATCTATTTCCAAGAATGTTGTCCATTGTTCTGAATTGAATTTCCAGAATGTAATATTATTTTTGTTATGCTTGTTTTAGAAGCAAGTTTAAGAGGAGTGGAATAATTCTAAAAAAAAGTTCTTGAGATTGTTCTGAAAAAAATATATGAAATATTCTTAGCGAATTCAATTATCAATGTAGCTCAAAATTTTAAAGATTTCAATGGCAGAATCAAATTTAAGATCTTCGATAAAAAATGCTGTCGTTGTAATGATCTATTTGACCCTATTTAAGCTGGTTTATTGATTTATACATTAATTTTAACGTATATCACGGAATAAGTAACATTTTTTAACAAATCTTTGGGAAAATCCGGAAATTGCACTTGAGAGTTTTGATAAAATTAGAGGAATTCATGAAATGTGATTTTAAGTTCCATGACAAAAACAGTTTATTTCAAGATTAAACCTTATTTGAGTTACTGAGTCATCATATAAATGTAACTATTGGTAACTTATTTATTATTCAAAAGTCACTATTTGGTCACTATTTCCGTAATTTTAGTCACTAAAGTCGCTACTATTATATCGCATCAGCGCTACCAGTCCTGCAATATAGTATTTGCCATTGGATTTTGTTTCTTGTACACTGACATTGGTATAGAGCTTTTTGACGTTTAATCGGCGCACACTAATATGCATCATTTAAATTGAAGGAGTGCAAGCAAGATAGAAACAGATTAGTGGGAAAACAAACCATCCTTTCATCCCTGTTTGCAAGATAGAGAAAGACGATTAAACGTCAAAAAGGTATATAGCCGTTGCTCAGCTGTATACAGTGGACCTCCGTTAATATGAACCAAGTGACATCAAGTAATCCTACACTCCAAAAAATCTTCACGTTGATGCAACGTGAAAAATCACGTAACCCCTTAAACACCCCACCTCAATCATTTTCACGTGCCGCAAATCAATTTCAAATGGAATTTTGATATAATTTACGTGATTTTCATGTCGGTTGATACTACGGGAATTTCACGTAAAAGTATGTGATAAGCATGTAAACTCTACAAAGTATACACGTTCAACCTACGTGAAAAATCAAGTAGCCATTTCGATTTCTTCAACTTCCAATTTTATATGATGGTAGTAAAATTGACAAAAATACCATGTAATGTTCACTGGAGCTGATGATGAAAGTGCTTACGTGAAATGGGTTTACGTGATTTACATGTATGAAAAAGTTATTCAATGTGGCGTCGACGTCATTAGAGGAAGAGTTGCTCTCAGCTTTGGATTTCCTAACACTAACACTGCATAAACTAGGTGTTTTTATACTTTTTTACATCATTCGAAGACCGCACAGATGATTGTATTTATTTAGAAATCAGAGGCTATAATCAATATCATTACTCTGAATAAGACAGCGGGAACAGATATTGCATTTGAATTGTCCTGATCAAATATTTGAGGCAACGAAATGTTCAGTGTTAATTTTTTAATGGCAATAGAGAAATGCTTGACGTATCATTAAAAAAATCTAACAATATTTAAATATTATTTTCCTGGTATTTTTTAGATCCTATAAACGTTGCTTCAAGATCACGTAAACTTTACGTGAAAATTTATTTAATCATTTCAAAATCACGTGAACATTGCGTGAAAATCTATATCAAATTAAGTGGAAATCACGTAAAATTTACCACTAAATGAGAATATTTTTTGGCTTCATAACAATAACGTAAATGTTACGTGAAAAGTAGTATGAACGAAAGCTACCTATGTTTTCACGTAGATCGGACGTGCATAGTTTTTGGAGTGTATGACCTGATCAGAAAAAGGAGTTCGGCTATGCAAATCGCGGCAAAAAAAGTTTTACTGAGATCTCAGCAAACATTTAATTTGTTTTCTGATATTCAGCTAAGAATTATCCAAGTCTCAGCAATCAAATGTCAATTTTGCTGAGATCTCAGTGAAACTTATAGCGAATTCGTTTATTATTCAGTTTCAACCTGGATCGGGTATACTCGTTTGTTTTTAAAGTCTAGCTCAGGTTGAGGTTCGCACTGACCACAAGTTCGGTTTCGCACTGATAATAAACGAATTCGCTATTATTTTTGCCAAGATTTGCACAGCCGAACTCGGTAGAAAAAAAAGTGTCTACAACTTGTTAGGTCAGTATTGATTTAAAGACTTTCGGCTCCGTAAAGTTCTTTTTAACAGGGAAGTCTGACCAAATAAACAAATTGAAGCAAATCTTCAAAACTTCAAAAATTTGCATGTTTCAAGAAAATCATACAGTTTTCTTGCAGTTTTTTGGGTGCATTTTGCCAGTTATTTTTGAAAACCTGATGGCAACCCTGGTCTCTTATGTGATTAATGTGATCACATGTGATAAATTTGCATAGTCTGCGAACTGCGATACGCAGATAACAAAATAAATTCACAGCAGAAAAAAGCCAAATTTCAAGCTAAATACCGTTCCGATTCAAATTTCGGACACTTTCATTTTTAATTAAATATTACATCCAGTTAGAAACAAAGTAATAATGTTAGATGATCGTGGAGGGCACTAGTCAAAAAAAATAAAAATTTACAAGACATGTGGATCATATTCGACCGAGATAATCAACTTTTAAAAGTGTCCGAAATTCGAGTTTAAGTGTCCGAAATTTGAATCGGCACGGTATGTTGGCTCACTCACAACAAAACAAAACAAATTGTTTATGGAAAAACGTGCACGCGGTATTCTCGGTCTTCCAACTTGCTCGCCGATGCGATGATGTCGACGAAAAAACGGTACCTTGGTAACAAACCAAACAAACCAACCCATTCGATGATCGATAATGGCAGTTTCTCACACTCTCACCATCACCATGCCTCTCTCTCTCTCTCTCTCAAACAACGAACTCTACCGCTCTCATTTGCCAGCACACACACACATTCCGCGAGAGATCCCGTGAGAGCCTACCACAAACTACGCTCATTTTTAGGCGGCATTAGACGACCATGCGCTGCTTCCATATGAAGCCAAACCGTGAATCAAAATTGCCCATCAATGTACGAGAGGGTTGATTGGAGTGATAAGAGGAATATCGTCTATCGTTGTTATGTTGATTTCTGTCCAAAATTGCCATTCGTATGTACTCAAACACCGGACTAGTCACGATAGATGAACAAATCAATCGCCCGTTGGCCTTGAGCGTTCGAAAAATAACGAGATGAACGACCGCTCACTCAAGGGCCTCTCCATTCCTAACGCACTTCTTCTTTGTTATTTCCAGAATAAAAGCACGGGTCAGCTAGCCCTAGTCCAGGGCACTGACCACTTCCGCGGAGACCCTCCCTGGTGACACGAACTTACGTTGGCTAACCCCCACCGAGACTGGCTGCCTCGTAAGTATTTCCCTATCTAGCACGAACACCGGCACAATTCCTAACTTTCCTTCTTCTCTTCTTCATTGCAGTTCGTTTTAATTGAAATTTTTGAGACTACAAAACGCGCTTTTTTCCCCCATCGGTTAAAGATTTTTTTGAATTTCGTTTCTACCCACGCACGCATCACACACTTCTTCAATCATCATGAAATTCCTCACCCAAAACGAAACCGAAATGGTGCAAATCGTGGACGGCCAGGTCAATGTACCGGCCATCATCGACCAGCTGACCGGTCAACTGTCCTCCGAGGAGCCCTTCTACGTGATGGACATCGATGACATCGTGCGCAAGCACCAGGCCTGGATCGAAAAGATGCCCCGTGTCGTGCCGCACTATGCCGTCAAGTGCAACGACACCGAAGTGGTCTGCGCAACCCTGGCCTCCATGGGTGCCAGCTTCGATTGCGCCTCAAAGGGCGAGATCGCCAAGATCCTCGCACTGGGCGTCAGCCCCGATCGTATCATCTTCGCCAACCCGATGAAGCCGAGCTCGCATCTGCGCTATGCCGGTGCCAACAACGTCAAGACGATGACCTTCGACAGCGACATCGAGCTGCACAAGATCCGAAAATTCTGCCCGGACGCCAAGCTGGTGCTGCGCATTCGTTGCGAAGCCGAGAAAGCTTCCTGCCCGCTTGGAAAGAAGTTCGGTTGCGACCCAGTGGACGAAGCTCCCCGTCTGATCAAGATCGCTCGCAGCCTGAACCTGGATGTGGTCGGTATCAGCTTCCACGTTGGTTCCGGCTGTGCCGACTTTCCAATCTACTACAAGGCAATCTCCATTGCTCGTAAGCTGTTCGATTACGCCAAGGGCTTCGGATATGAGTTCAACCTGCTGGATATTGGCGGAGGCTTCCCCGGAGACTTCGGAACCTCGATTGACGAAGTTGCAATGATCGTGAATACGGCCTTAGACAAGTTCTTCCCAGACAAATCGGTACGCGTAATCTCCGAACCCGGTCGGTACTACGTAGCATCCGCATTCACACTGGTCACCAATGTTCAGTCGAAGCGTATCTGCCTAGATCCCGCAACCGGAACCATCGATCGTATGATGTACTATCTGAACGACGGCGTATATGCTTCATTCAACTGCATCTTCTTCGATAATCAGACCCCGAAGCCTAAACTGATCGGAGAACAGAGAGGTAAAACCTACAAAACCACCATCTGGGGACCGTCCTGCGATGCGCTGGATCAGCTAATCGAGACCATCCACATGCCGGAACTGCAAATCGACGACTGGGTTATCTTCGAGAACATGGGAGCTTACACAATCCCCATTGCGAGCCCGTTCAACGGATTTCCACTGCCCAAGATGTACTGCTACATCAGTAAGGAATCTTGGTAAGTTCCACCTTTCACCGAAGCAAAAATCAACCAAATCTCTAACCAACTCTCTCTCTCTCTCGTTCAACAGGGAAATGATCGAACACCTGACGACGCTCTCGGACGAAACCTTGTGCAACACCTCCGCCGCCGAACTGCTAAGCAACTACGAGAACGTAGTTTGCGCATGAATCATCCCATATCACCGTAAAAAACCCAAACTTATGTTATCGTAACTTTACGTTTTTATTTGATACTTTTTTATTATTTACATTTACATGATTCGTACCGTCTCATTAGGTGAGTTAATTTGAGTGTCAAACAAAAGTACACTCTATGTTTTAGGTAATCTAAATTCAAACTAAAACTGTATTTCAAATATTCCAATAAACGAAGAGGCAGCCCAAAACTGCTCCTAATGCTAAGAATAACACAAAAACACTTCAATAGTTCTTTTATATGCAATACCCGAATCAACCCTAACCGACCATCTTCTGGACCTTCTCGTACAGCAGTTCCATCCGGCCCTGCATCACCGGTTGACCCTTTTTGGTCTTGGCCGTCATCATCTTGTGCTTACGCTGCTTCTCGCTCTGCTTCTGTTGATGCTCCGCTTCCCGATCTTGCTTGTCGAACCGCTTGATCGCCCGCTCCTGGGCTTCCAACCGTTCCGGTGCCAGGCAATAGTTCAACTTTTCCGGTTTCGCTGTAAACAGCGCATCCAGATCCTGACCAGATCGTTGTTGTTGTGGCTGCTGTTGCTGAGTGTTGCCGGATCCACCACGTGGTTTATCACCTCCACGTTGTCTTTGGCCCTGACCTTTTGACTGGTTTCGGTCATATGGTTTACGTCCACCTTGCTGACCACCTTCTCCACCCCGTGGTTTCCATTGTCTTCCGGGGGGACCGGAACCATCCCCACCACGATTGTCACCGTTTTGGTCACCAGCTTTTGGTTTCCATTGCCTACCGGGAGGACCCCCATCACCACCGCCACCGGGTGGTTTCCATTGCCTACCGGGAGCGCCACCCTGACGATTATCACTATTATGGCCACCGCCCGGTGGTTTCCATTGCCTGCCGGGAGGACCGCCATCACCTCTTGGTTTCCATTGTCTTCCGGGAGGTCCACCACCACGATTGTCCCCATTTTGGTCACCACCTGGAGGTTTCCATTGTCTCCCGGGAGGGCCTCCGCCACCACGGCCACGACCACCACCACCACGACCACCGCCACTACCGCGACCACCGCCACCACCGCGACCACCGCGACCACCACCACCACGAGCACCACCACCACCGCGGCCACCACCACCGCGGCCACCACCACCGCGACCACCACCACGATTGCCACCGGTTTGGTTCGGCTTGAAGAACCGATCGTTCTTCGGTTTATCGTTGTTAAAGTTTTTCCTGTCCTGACCTGGTCCGGCGCCGTTGCGGGGACCGCGAGGACGAATGTTTTGATCGGTTTTCATTGTCTTTACACGGATTTTACTATTGGAAGATGAAAAATTACGAATAAATCGATCAGAACAGAACCCCAAAATGTTACTTACCCTGGTGGCTGAGGCACACGCACGTTGTTTGTTGGTAAATAAAAATAGAGTTTCAATTCACGGTAAATGAGAATAACTCAGAGAGAGAATCACTTTTGTACTCATTGTTATATAGACGAGGTGACAGGCGGTTTTCGAGGGGTTTCTTGGGCTTGTATCGGTAATATAAAATTACCACAAATTATTAAAATAATTGGCTTGTTTAGGGGTATTGAGGTAACTACATATTCGTTATCTGCATTAAAAATGGAACCAAAATCCAAATTTTCAGCATTGGTACAGAGGAAATGTTTTAAATAAGTACGATTACATTAGCAAAAATTACCATCTTAGTGCCCCTCGGCGGGACTTTGATGGGAGCGAGGTGTCAACGAATGGATTTAGTGTAAACGATCAAAAATTTGATCTACTTCAACGAGATCAATATCGATTCGGGAACGATAAATAGGTATATCGTTGTTCCACCCTAATAAAAATTGTATGGTTAATTTGCTTAACGACGTGTTCTGGGTATCATCCAAACCATTTGTGGAATAGTTCAATGATTTGGGTTATCGTTCGTTTATGGTTATTTTTTATTAGGGCAGTGTATTATGTGTGTTTTTGGGTGTCGGAAAGTGTTTCTCTAGGGGGAAGAGGAGACAATTATAGTCGCTATATTCATAGTCTGGCGGATAGAATCTCGGGAACCAATTGAGCTGTCAAATAGCGGAACCAATCGAGCAAATCACGAACAACAACAGAAAAGAGCACATCTGCAATTACGAACAAAACTTCGGAAACCCTTTTCTCGTAGCTCAAGGCTCGCCTACGCAAACTAACACCATCTTTGGGTTGAGAAAAGTTTCTCCTATCCGATGATGCTGATAATTTGCGTTCGACTGGCGAGGAAAGAATAATCAACGTTTTGTTCATAAAAGTTGATAGTACCTTTTCAATTATTGGTTTAAAATATATTGACTTGGTTCCGCTTTTTGATGGATCGAAATTCTATCCGCCAGACTATGAATATAGCGACTATAGAGACAATAGGGGGCCTTTTTTTAACTAATTTTCTGTCAAACGCGAACCAGCGTCTGATTGGTCGAGTGAACAAGATTACTTACTTTTAGAACTACTTTTTATAGAACTCAATTTTGGGTTGTTTTGCTCTTTTCAACAAAAGTGCAAGTGAGAGACATCCATCAGTAAGTTTAAAGAACTCCCCGTTGTACTCTCCCGATGTGCGGTATAAGAGGTGAGGAGAAAGGAAACTAGTGGACTCTTTCATTCTGACGGTGTTCTTATGCAACAGCAGACGTGACGTGTTTTCTGCAGGAATAGGAATTTGAGCGGAGTTCTCTCTGTTTATACTCTTTAATATGATGCGCTTGACATAGATGGCCCACACAGACTCACGAAGAGCTACTAATTCCGATCAATAGCTGTGCGGCTTCTTCCTCCTTATATGGATGGTCATGTAGGCTGCAGCTCGCTGCTTGCAGGCAGCCTTTCTCTGTGTACTGGAGAACACCACCACTCGCCACGCAGTGATTGAATAAACACCTAGGGGCATCCCACTCTAAACTATAGCTCTAGTATCAATTAAGTATTTCCAAGTATCTGATAAGTATTCTTAAGTATTTTTAAGTATTTTAAGATTTGGATTTTTTAATCGTAGTGACCGGTTACTAATGTAGTTGTTTGTTGTTGTATATTCCGTCAATGTATTTCTTTTAATCACATATTAAAGCATAATAATACTAGTTTCAATATATTTTAAATTAAATGAAGTAGTGTGCTCATGTTTATAAGTAAGTATTTTAATTCTAGTTATGAAATAGTTCATCAAAAACATTTTACTTTCAGCGAACCAGTTAGAGCAGGGATAGTGAATTATTTATGATTTCGAACTGGCTGTTTAGTACGATATCAAACTTTTGAATTAAATTGTTTAGCTGGAGGTTAATGGTGTAGTTGTCGTCCGAACTCGTACACTCCCGATCATAAGTTTAAAGACACCCCCAAAAAAGGTATTGAATGGAACTTTCCTCGTAGACAAATTGTTCAATATGATTTTCAAATTTTGTGTGCTAAAAGTTCACCCAAAGTTACAATATTTTTCAAAATTTACTCTGAAGAATCGTGACTGATTTTCTCAGAATTGGGTTGGCCAAATTTCGAAATAAAAGTAGTAGTAGAACACTTATGCTATATCATTCATACCATTCAACAAATATTGAACGTAAAATGAGAGATCATTGAACAAAACATATTTGCATGGTTTTTTGGGGGTGATCGGTAGTGCAACTAGATTTCAAACTGAACTGCCGAAATAAAAGCGTATGTTGAATGTTAATTCGGCTAAGAACTATCAGCAAACTGCATGATTATGAAATTCTTGACTTTAAGCCGGCCAAGGATGCTTGGACTACACTGGTTATTTGCCAGAGGCCAATGAAGCATAACTACCAGCAATTCGTTGTGCTGGTGGGCTCGAAGTTAAACTAATTGCAATTGCCACTGGTGGTCGTATCGTACCGCGTTTTGATAAATTTACATCGGTAAAGATGAGTTATAACGGACTGGTGAGCGAGTTGAGTGAGTATCCTGATAGCAACCGAAAGCTTTATGTGAAATCAACATGAATTTCTCACTTTTACCCGTAAGTAAAGATAAGAAAATATTAATCTGTTCTGTAATTATAATTTATAACAAACCATTGATATACCAAATAAAACGATTTAGTTCCAACACGTTACTTATTTGTATCAATTTCATGTAAAATAATCGTAAGTTAAAATGTATGAATTTATTTAAAACCATTCCCCAAACAGTCCAAATTAAAGTGATAGAATCAATTAGAGAACGGTTCTGAGATTAACACGGAACGAATATGTTAGTTTGACCATGTCCAGCCTTATTACGGCTTAGATCTTATTTTGGGCCAAGTAAGCACAACCCACCCTTTACATCTATTTTTAGAACGAAGTTTTTCACAAAATGGAATATTCTCACTGCAGATGCCTTCCAAATTTATTGAACTTTCCGTACGTATCGTAATATTTGATAAAGAGAAACACATTGTGGAGATATTGTTAAAAATCTAACACTGCTTCTTGACGCCAAACTCAGCCTTCGGATTCTAAACTCGGCCTAATGCATTGAAACGCCATTCAAACGCAATTGAATTCACTCTTTTATTTTTTGAGAATAATGGGTGCAAACATACATATCACACTTTCTTATTGACTTCGTTCGGTAGATTTGGAACAGAAGTATCGTACCAAGCGCATAATTGACTTGTTAACGCCGTAATCATGGTTTGATTTGATGTTTTCTGCTAAATAGGCCCAAAATGGGCGATTAGGCCGAAGTAGCTCTCTACCCTAATAAGCCTTAAGCAGGAGAGCATCGAAGGTTCCAAATCCGAGGAAATGTGATTCTCTTCTTATTCGGCGGCAATCTATAGGAGATGTGGCTTTGCGAAAGGTGCAGAAAGCTTTCACAACTTCTTATTCAGCTTCAATCAGCCTAAAGGCCTGAAGTTATCGTCCAACGGTCAAGAACCTGATGGATGAAAAATCCATCTTTATGGAGACATGGTTTTGGGATAGAAACATTTGCTCAGGGAATTTGCTTCCACACGCAGTTTCTTCCACAGTAACTTTCCAAATAGTTCCTTATTCTTCCTTTGAATGACATGTGAATCGGTTTGGCAATGTAATATTCCTTGAATCAAAATCGTCTCCTCCTCGATTCCTACAAAAAAGGAATAAATTACTTGATTTTTCTAAATACGCACACACAAATTCTCGGAAGACACCGAGTAAATAATCGAATGAAATCTGTCTAGCAACGGAGGTAACAAACTAGCGCTAAATATTTCTTAAGTATTTTTAAGTATATGAAGGATTCTTAGATATCAGTAAAAACTTTCTGAGTATAATGCGAGAAATACAAAGTTTAGAGTGGGATGCCCCTAGATAAACACCGAGATAAACACCATTTGGTGAGACCGGAAGGAATTCAACTTCGAAATATGTGTCAGGAAAATCGCTTTTCGGAGGCAAACGGTGATTATTTTAATTATCATAGCAACAGTTGCACATTGGTGCAATTTTCAATAGTGACATTTTGAAAAATGATATAGTCTTAATTTTAAAAGATTCGTAGAAAAAAATCCTATCGATTGGTGTATTCAGAATTAAAATCGATCATCTCTGGATCAAAATCAGACCACTTTCATGCTACGACCGACTTTGGTGTTTGAAATTGAGTTGTTTAGGGGTATTGAGGTAAATACATATTCGTTATCTGCATTGAAAATGGAACCGAAATCCAAAATTTCATCAATTTTGGTACACTTGAACTATTTTAAATCAGTACGATTACATTAGTAAAAATCACCATCTTAGCGCCCCTTGGTGGGGCTTTGTATGGGAGCGAGCTGTCAATGAATAGATTTAGTGTCAACGATCAAAAATTTAAATCTTGATTTAAAAATCGAAATGAATGTCTACGAGATCGATAAAAATATCGTTGTGCTCAGAAAACGAAGCTCTATCAGATAATGTTTAAAAATTGGTATATTTTTTGAAGTTAAACAACCCAATTGCACCCCGAATGTTGCCTTTAAGTACATCCCTAATAAAAATTGTATGGTTAATTTGCTTAACGACGTGTTCTGGGTCCACGCAAACCAACATCACCATCGGGTACAGAAAGTGTTATCCAACCTGATGGTGACCCAAATGATGACCTTGACCACCACACACGGTGATTGGAACTGAATCCGATCAACGATTAAGGCCAACCTTTATAGCTAGCTGCTTGGTGGGAGTCTTTCGTTTTGAACTGGAGAACACCACCACTCACCACACGGTGATTGAATAAACACCGTTTGGTGGTGGAATTCAACTTTGAAATCTGTGTTAGGGAAATCGCTTTTCGCAGGCAATCGGTGGTAATTTTAATTATCATAGCAACAGTTGTACATTCGTGCAATTTTCGACAGTGAAATTTTGAAAATTGACAAATTCTGACAAAATGACAATTTTTCTGATCGATTGGTGATAAAATTATTGAAATTGGTCCAGGGGCAGCTGCGTAATTAACGTTCAAAATCTTTCATAATTTTGTTACATGTTTCATATTCGGTTTTCACAAAGTGTATCCCCATATAGAAATAACAAGTAAATGAAAATTACTTTGACCCGCTTTACCTACTTTTGGGTTCCTGCACTATAGTGCCGAGATGAGTGAAAAGAACTTAATGTTGGGTACTTTTTTCTAACCGTGTAAAGCCCTATACAGCAAAAAAAATGTAATATCGATCAACGTAATTCAAGCTGATGTACGAAATAATGATGTAATAGCAAAAAGCAGATACAATATTACATCAATGGATGTAATTTTGTTCGCAAAATAGATGTACATCGTACAATGTAATATTACACAACCGATGGATTGACCTGGTTGCAGCAGTTTCGATGTAATATTCAACAACTTTTTTTGCTGTGTACAGTAAAAGTATGGACGACTGTCACCACAAAACTAAAAAAAAAGCTGTTCCAATCGAGCAAAGCGGTGCATTTTGACGGTTCGATTGGAACAACTTTTGACAGACGTCCATACTTTTACTGTAGGGCTTTAGTTTCATCGTGTTGACCGAGCTGTCGAAACTTCAAACGAAAAAATATATTTACTGGCAACCATATCCTCAACCATAACAACATAACGCTAACGATCCTCCTGCGACTCCTTTGCTCCCTTGATTTTTGCCTAAAGGCCCACGCACATTAGATCCGGATCGGACGCGTTGCGGCAAAGTGACAGCTAAATCTATTGTATAACTGTCAAATTTACGTCAACGCAACGCAAACGGATCTAATGTGGGTGGCCCTTAAGAGAAGAGGTGACAATACGGGCATAGAGGTTACGGGGGCGAAAATGAACCACTTTGACGTGAACCAGCTGGCTGATTTCATGTGCGTAAGATAGAGCTACACAGAAAAAATTTTGTTGAATTTACATCCAAACTGCTGCAACCAGATCAATCCATCGGTTGTGTAATATAACGTTGTACGATCTACATCGATTTTGCGAACAAAATTATATCCATTGATGTAATATTGTATCTGCTTTTTGCTATTACCGAGGCTATTACATCATTATTTCATACATCAGCTTGAATTACATTGATCGATATTACATTTTTTTTTGCTGTGTAGTACGTTCAGACTACAGAGTTATAACATGTTATAGCGCTATCTTGATGGTGGTTTCTGTGTTGCAATTATTTGACAACCGTTATAACATGTTATAACCATAGAGGTAACTCTAAAACGCTGTAAAGACTGGATAGTTATAACATGTTATAACGGTTGTCAAATAATTGCAACACAGAAACCACCATCAAGCTAGCGCTATAAAATGTTATAACTCTGTAGTCTGAACGTGCTATAAGACCACTGGGTCCCGAAGAAAATCATTATTATTTTTGGCTCACTCAGTACCAGAACAACGGTCCCAATCAGTCCCAAGCTATTTCACTCACCCCTGCATGTTCTGCATGAATCCACACACCCCTGATGTTATCTGTCAAACTTTCATAGCGAATCAAAACAAACATAGTGTAGTAATAGAATTTCAACTAGAATAGGGTACGTTAATCGATTGCTTGGGACCAATAGGCTACTAAAGTGGTGAGCCAATTTAAAATCGTTAGTTTCGTATTGATTGTTGTTATAACTCTCCAGTCTGGACAGCGTTTAAGAAGCCAATTGGCACCTCTTCCTCTTTGCTAATGTAATCGTATTTATTTTTAACAGTTCCAGTCGTTCCAGTTTACCAAAATTGGGTTCTTTAAGGGTATTGCGATAAATGCATATTTGTAATCTGCATTAAAAATGGAACCCAAACCCTAAATTTCATCAATTTTGGTACACTGGAACTATTTTAAATAAGAACAATTACATTCGCAAAAATCACCTTATTAGCGCCCATCGGTGTCACTTTGTATGGGAGCGAGCTGTGAGTTTAGTGTCAAACAGTGAAGTTATTTTTTTTTGCTTTAAATCTTGATTTAAACATCAAGATGAAAGTGTGTGGGTTCGAAAAAATATCGCTGTGCTCAGAAAACGAAGCTCTTTCAAATGATATAAATATAAAAATCGATATATTTTTCAAAATTAAAGAACCCAATTGACAAAATTTTGGATTTCGGTTCTGATTTTAATGCAGATTTGCATTTACACCCTTAAAGAACCCCATTGAGTGAATGAAACTCAAATTTGAGTTGGTTTAATCGACCGTGAAACTTCACGCGTGAAGTAACGGATTACAATTTTGAGAACTCTTCGACCCCTCGCAATCTACTGATATCGCGTGAAGAAGAAAACCCTCAGAAACACAAACAAAATTTTTCCACCAAAAAATTAAAGTTCTCTGGTAAAAAATAAAATTCGACAGGTAGGTAAATGTAAACCGTTATTTTAAAACACCATATACCTAATTCAATTTTACTATTGATATCGTCAGCTCAAAATGACGCACACTTGCGTGATCTGCAACGACTACCCGGAGAAGAATCCCGACTGTCTGCTGTTTCCATTTCCGGACAAAACCGACTACCCGGTCCAGTATCAGAAGTATCTCACCGTGTGCGACATCCAGGAGGCATCCCTGCCGGCCAACGTCGTACCGCACATTTGCGCGACCCATTTCAACGATGACTGCTTCGACGAAGACGGCAATCTGATCGAAGGTTCCCTGCCCAGTGCCAATCTGGAGCGGATCGAAATCGAAGCTTACGCCGACGAGGATTTCCAAATGCTTGAAGAATATGAACCCCTGTTCAATGTGAAACCAACGGCTGCGGTAACGGTGGTATGTGGAATTTTGATATTAAGGTTTGAGCTCGCTACAATTACCATTACAATTTTCAGGAGGAGCCGGTTACATCTTCAAGTGAGCCTCCGGCAATTGAAACGGAAACGCTTCTCGTTCCAAAGACAGAACCACTTGAGATCATGGATGATGTGTGCATCGTAGAAGAGGCAGAGATCAAAACCGAAGCACCAGAGGTGGACGAAGGCATTCCGGATCCGTTCGATAATATCAAACCGGCTGAGGATGGCGGCAAATGCTGTATCCTATGCGGCGACAGTGAAGTCAAAAACCCCAACTGTCGTTTGTATGTGTTTCCGAGAAAAATTCCAAAAATCTATCGCAAATGGATGCTAGCTGCCAAGTTGAATATGACTCAGTACCAGGACAAGGACATCTATAGCTGCCAGAAACACTTCCCGGAAAATGGATTCTTTGCCGATGGGAAGTTTATTCAGAGTTGGGCTACTCCAAAGCTAAATTTGCCTGCTAGAACAGCGAAAAATTCAAATCCAGCTGTACCATCCGAGCCACAGATGATCTTGCTGAATGCCGAACCCGGACCGTCATCGTCCGGGGCTGGAAGCTCAACTGGTCCTCAGATAGTTATCAAGGTGAATCCGGCGAACAGGAAGAATGCCGAAGCGTTGAACATTGATCCGGACAGCTACGCCAAGACGTTTGCAAAGGTCGTAATGGAACTCATGCCCCGCAAGCTCCACTACAACGGCGAAGAACGGCCGGTAACGGGAACGATCGTATTCCAATCGAATTTGTTTTAATTCAACTTGACAATAAATTACTTTATTCCAACCAAACTAAGATATCAAAAGAACTTTCGGATCATTAAATTCTTCCAGTTTATACTTTTCCAATCTAATCTACCGTATCGTGCGGAACTGCTGAAATTCGATCGTACTAAACGGGCCGAACTGTTCCAACGGATAGGTCGTCCCTTCCGTCGGCGAGTGGACCCTAATCTGCCGCATGTGCGTGTCCCTCCCATTCTGATGGTTGCTAATGACGGCAATCTGAATCATAAACGTCCGCATCGGAATGTCCCGTACCTCCTTGATCGGAATACACACCCACCCGGATGGTTCGCACAGGTCCACCACTTCGACCTCTTGCAGATCGTTGAAATGCGTCCCGCAGCGGATCGAAATCCGGCTCGGAGTGTAGCTCTCGTCCAGCTTGTAATCGGAATAAATATAGATCTGACTTACCGTGGTTTTGCGGGGGAATTGAATGTTGACCAGATGCGGCAGCTGGCCGTCCGATTGCCAGTACGTTTCCATCGAATTATCTCGCAACTGTTCCACGCCGAAACCTGGTGGAACAAATCGAATAAATGGATGAGTGAGCGAAGTGATTTGATCGAACCATCAGGAGGAACTGGAGTACAAACCGGGTTTACAAGAAGACAAACTCCACACCGCTTGAGAACCGACTTCCCGAACAGCGCCGGACCTTTCCTCGGTTGTGGGACAAACGTTTGCACCTGTTTTCACACTCATTTTTGAATTAAACTTTTACCAAATTAGAATTCGACTTCAATCTTCGCTTACCGGCGTTTGTTTGCATTTTGTTTAAACGAGCTAGCGTCTGAATCCAACGTTATTTACATGAAATGAACTCGAAATGAACGAAATCAACCAGCTTCACGAACCTCGACACATTTATATGGCAACACTGGTCACACGACATTTTTGGACCCCTCGCTTCTTAAATCCGTTTGACAGTTAAGCACAACAACAAAAATAATCTCGATCCCACTCGTTCGTCATCATTCGTGACACCGCAGCAGTAAAATTTCGCTCCGACATTCGTGAAATTTCCCGTGAAAACAACGCATCATGTTCATCAAACCATTCAAAGTGAAAAGCAACATTCTGGTCACGGGATCGGAACGAAAACGCCTAAAGCAACGGGCCCAGGCTCAGTTCGGAGCGTCCGAATCGTGCTCGCTGGCGGAACTGTTTGGCAACAAGTGCAAGGTCTGTGTAGTCAAAATCGTGACCTACAGCGAAACCCCCGTAACCGTGTATACCAGCGATAAGCGACCAGTGTTCTTCGAGCTGGACACCAAGCTCATCCCAACGGTTTACACCCTGTGGACGTGCCCCGATGTAGTGCCACACTTTACCACTCAGCCGGGAGTGCTTCCCAAGCTGGCAAATGGTGCTGATCTAATGATTCCTGGTATTGTCCGCTCGGGGAACGATATGAAGTCGTGGGGAAACCACCGAAGGGACGATATCGTGGCGGTGAATTTGACATCCAACAAGGCTGCGGTGGGGGTGGGGCTACTGGCCCACTCGAGCGATGATTTGTACATGTGCGGTGGTCGGGGGGTTGCCGTCCGAATGATGCACGTTTTCGGTGACAAGCTGTGGGGAATGGAACCATCGGTTTGCCAGCAGGTTCCCCTGATGGACGCGATGCAATCCGTTCCGAAGGCTGACGATTTTCCTCCTCTGGGGGCGGAACCCGTGGTGCCGGTGGTAGATAAGAAACAAATGGCCGAAGTGACAGAGAAGCTTGCCAACGTGGGCCTAAATGCCGATGCGGGAGAAGAGGTAAAGACTGTGCTGAACTTAGGGTGCGAATTTTTTTTTTAATATTGCTTCTTATTTTTTTCTAGGATGGCGAACCGGATGTAGAATCGGAAGAGGAAACCCAGCCTGATCCAGACAAGCTTATCAAGTCGGCCTTTCTCAATGCCATCAAGCTGCAGGGCAAGAAAGTTGCACTACCAATCCTGACGAGCACGTTCTACCCGCAGTACGTTCAACCGGAACTGCCCGATGGAATCGAAATGAAGCGTAGTTCGTACAAAAAGGTCGGCACCTTCTTGAAGGAAATGGCCAACGATGGGATAATCCAAATTAAGGAAGAGAAGAAGGGTATCGAGAAGATTGTTGCAATCAATCTGGAACATCCCGATGTGTTGTCATTCTTTCCTTACAAAATGAAGAAACCGGAAGATCCGGAAGCCAACACGGTTGAACAGACCGCTTCTACTCCACTACTGCTGACAAAAATGGTTGAAATGTACGCCGTGAACGAAGCGACTGAAAAGTTTTTCGGTAGCGTTGGAGTTGCTTTGGGAAAAGCGTTGGATGAAACTCAGGCTCGGAATTACGTCAAAGACTACGTAGGCAGGAACAAGCTGATAGATCTGCAAAGTAAACTAGTCACCCCGGACGATACGTTGGCGCAAATTTGTGGTGGATCGGAAACGATGCGTTACACCTTACCGCAACTGTACGAAATAGTTTTACGGAACATGACCAGCACCTTTGAGATGCGCAGCCAAAAGGGACCGGTTACGAAGGGCGGCAAACGAGCAATAATCCATCTGACGACCGCGACTCGATCAGGCAACAAGAAGGTCACCCTCATCAGCAATCTGGAAGACTACGGAGTGAATGTGACGGAATTTGCCAAGGCCGTTAAACTGGGAGCGGCTGCCAGTACCAGCATGACGGAGGTGCCCGGAACGAAGGGCGAACAGCTGCAGGTCCAAGGTAACCACATCAAATTCGTGTTCGACCTGCTCACCGGAACCTACCAAATTCCGAAAGCATGCATCACGGGGTTGGAGTTTGCCAAGGAGCAGAAAAAGAAGAAGAAAAAGTAAGGTAAGTGCGGGACTTGTTTGATCTAAAATATATTTATTGCGATCGTGTAGAAAAATGTTGTGATCAATTCGGATGACATTGAGTCCTTAAAAAGGTCGCTTAAAAAAGGTACGAGAATTTTTATTGCAAAAAGTGATTTGTAAACAGGAAACATGGAAATTTCAGTTAAGTGCTCCAAAGAAATGCACCATCCTGCGCTGCCCCCTTTCTTCAAGCAGCCTGTTGAACCAATCCGCGAAGCAAAGCTTCCAGTTTGCGTCCATCGGCGGCAAATTTCCTGATGCCGTCCGACAGCTTGTCCGTCGACATTTGATCCTCGTTCAACATCCAGCGGAATGTGGCTTCGTCCAAATTGATCTTCTTCAGGTCGCAAACCTTGGCCGTCTCCGGATCCAGATAGCGCTTGATTGGCTGCTCACTCTTCTCCAGCTCTCCGAGTAGCTTAGGGCTGATGGTCAACAGGTCGCATCCAGCCAAGGCACGGATCTCCCCGGTATTACGGAAGGACGCTCCCATCACGACGGTTTTGTAGCCAAACTTTTTGTAGTAGTTGTAGATCTTGGTCACCGAAATCACTCCCGGGTCCTGTTCCGGTTCGAACGATTTCTTATCCGTATTGGACACATGCCAGTCCAGGATGCGACCAACGAAGGGCGAAATGAGAGTTACTCCCGCCTCGGCGCAGGCAACGGCCTGGGCGAACGAGAACAGCAGTGTGAGATTGCAGTGAATGCCGTGGTCCTTTTCGAGTTCACGAGCCGCTTGGATGCCCTCCCATGTGGAGGCCAGTTTAATCAGAACGCGCTTCCGATCGATGCCGTTCTCCTCGTACAGCTGGATCAACTTGAGGGCCTTGGCCACCGAAGCCTTCTTGTTGAACGATATCCGGGCGTCGACTTCGGTTGAAACGCGACCCGGCACCAGCTTCAGGATTTCACAGCCGAACAGGACGAACAGCATGTCCGCTGCTTCCGATACTTGCTCGTCTTCGGTGCTATGGGGGGGGGATAAGTTTTGAATAATTTTCGCTTCTAAGGGACAAATAAAACTTACGATCCCTGCTTTAGACCGTACTTGACGGCTTTGTCGATCAGATGCTGGTACTGTTCCATGCCGGCTGCCGACAGGATCAGCGATGGGTTGGTCGTGGCGTCCGTGGGCTTGTAGACCTTCATGGCTGGAAAAAGAGAATGCATTCGTTCGTAAATTTCTGGTTTGCACTGTGTAATAGTTATGAAGTTGTTAATTTATCAAGTAAAATAATTGTGTCTTAAAACAAAAAAAAAGTAGAAAAGTCTGTGCCCAGGGATACGAATGGAAGTTTGTCGTAGGACAATAGACTAACACAAAGACCAGGGGGTCCCGAAGAAGCATGTTCAATCTTTTGGCTCAGTACGCAGTACCAGACATTCTACTTGAAACCGGCAAATGGGAATCTATTGTGGACGGTTAAATTGCCCAGGAGTGGAAACACAGGTGGACAGACACAGACAGATAAACGACTTCAGGCCAATCTCCCTCACCTGCTGCGCTTCCAAAATCACGGAGAGGATGCAAAACAGGCGGCTAATGAACTTTCTGGAATTCAGGAGTCTGCTTGATCATCGACAGCATGCCTTCCGTCCAGGACATGGAACCAACACCTACTTCGCAACACTCGCTCAAGTTCTCCATGATGCCACTTCCGCTGAACACCATGCTGCACTAGATGCCAGACGTGCATTTAGTTAAGAATTTTCTGCTTAACCGCACCTTCCAAGTGCTCCTGGGAAACCATCGTTCTGCTACATTCCGAGAGGAGACCGGTGTACCCCTCCCCCGAGACGGCTAATACATAGGTGTAACAGTCGGAAGAAGTGTTAGTTTGTTTACTTAAATGAACCATGCCCATTTTGTTATGGCATGTTTGCTATACGAAATGCGCCTCGTGTTTATTAGCGAATTTCACATCAAAGATTGATTAATTGAGTAGGAAATCAGTTTGGCACGGCATTTGTGACCAGCATACACCTTCCGGTAGTATGAAACAGGTCAAAAACTGTTCAAATCCGCAGATAAAATTTTTGTTTTGAATTTCTGTATAGCAAAATAGTGAACTTTTCGTGAACATTAACGGCAAAGAACTCACCAACACTGGGAGACTGTGAGTTCCTGCCCACCTGTTCATTTTCCATCGTGCCCCTCCCCCTCCCCTTCGACGAGGTTCAAGACGCGCCTAAACCTCCTCCGATCCATCGCGGGACGACACCCGGACTGTAACCGATACACTGGGCTTCGCGTCGTTAGAACTTCGGGAATCACATCTGCTTTACGGGATAGAAATCACCTGCCTAGCCATTAAACTAGCCTCCACGTACCATCAAGCAATACGTATCTACTCTGGTCTCGTACCACACCCGGAACCGCAGCTTGCATAGAAAGTGGAGTACTACCGTTTAACCGACTAATTATTCAGACTTTCAGCAATCGATCCATCAGCTTCGAGGAGAAGACAGAAGGCTTGGATGAGAGAGCATTCCTCTTCTCGGAGACTAAATAGCTCCTCTCTGATACTGCAAACCTGGAGCTCCATCCGCTGTCCAGGGTCCACTGGTGCGGAGCCAGAGGTTGGAACTTGACGGTAAAGAGTACAAGCCCTTGACTCTGATCTAGCCAAACACCCACGGATTCAAGCCATCCAAAAATACGCACCCAGCAATACCACCTTTGTCTGGATCCCTGAACACGTTGGCATTCATGGAAACGCGGAGGCAGACCATCTAGTGGCCTCCGGAAGACAAAGCACCACTGTTCACCCGGGAGATCCCATTGGGATATCTAAACAAAGGGTTAAAACGCTATCTGGAACTCATGGTCCCAATCGAGGGACCTATTCATTAGATAAATTAAGGGAGACACTCGTAAGTGGGAGGTTCCTTCCGACATCGGCGCCTAATACATAGGTGCCACAGTCGGAAGAAGTGTTAGTTTGTTTACTAAAATGAACCATGCCCATTTTGTTATGGCATGTTTGCTATAAGAAATGCGCCTCGTGTTTATTAGCGAATTTCACATCAAAGATTGATTGATTGAGTAGGAAATCAGTTTGGCACGGCATTTGTGACCAGCATACACCTTCCGGTAGTATGAAACAGGTCAAAAACTGTTCAAATCCTCAGATAAACATTTTTGTTTTGAATTTCTGTATAGCAAAATAGTGAACTTTTCGTGAACATTAACGGCAAAGAACTTACCAACACTGGGAGACCGTGAGTTCCTGCCCACCTGTCATAAAACCGTCTTGCCTTCCGACCAGGGCTGGAAAGCACCTCAGAGCGTTAGCAATTCAACTTTGTGCATGCATCTCACAACACTCGACAAAGAGTGTGTGGTTCTCCCATTTACTTCGCACACTCTTTTTCAACTAATCTGTGAGAAAGCGATCCACACAATGAGCGGTACAAAGACGGTTTTATGACAGGTGGGCAGGAACTCACGGTCTCCCAGTGTTGGTAAGTTCTTTGCCGTTAATGTTCACGAAAAGTTCACTATTTGCCTATACAGAAATTCAAAACAAAAATGTTTATCTGAGGATTTGAACAGTTTTTGACCTGTTTCATACTACCGGAAGGTGTATGCTGGTCACAAATGCCGTGCCAAACTGATTTCCTACTCAATCAATCAATCTTTGATGTGAAATTCGCTAATAAACACGAGGCGCATTTCTTATAGCAAACATGCCATAACAAAATGGGCATGGTTCATTTTAGTAAACAAACTAACACTTCTTCCGACTGTGGCACCTATGTATTAGGCGCCGAGGAGCGGTACACTCCGAGCGGCACAGGGAGCGAATATAATCCAACAAGCGCTAATGTCTTCTTTAAATTATTTGCAGACTTTGCTTGCCACGACTGCATGCATAGGAGATGAAGAAGAGCATAACGGAGAAGAATTTTGTCTTTTTGCTGGGTTTCCCATTTGCAACCCTACACTGAGTGCCGCTTTTTGCGTCGGAGCCGTCGGAGCGATGGCTACACATTGAGCTTTCGTTATTTCTGGCGGTGTGTCTGTCTTTTCTTCTCCAGTGCTTTACAGTTGCGCAGGGTGAAAGACAAGCAAACTTTGTGTTTGCTTGATTCTCACTTTGTTTATTTCAGAAAATCAGTACTTTGCGCACATTGTTGCGTTGGGCGCCAGTGTTGCAAGTTCCCCGGTAGCGGTAGAGCAAAACTACCATAGGGCGGACTAATCACAAACACTTAAAGCAATGTGCACCAACAAATCAAAATAAGGCATGACAATCATCTTAAAATCAGTTGCTATCCATCTCTCGAACCGATCAGTCGCTTTATCACCAGATACTATATTCGAGATTCTTTTGTGCGGCGTGCGAGCGTGTGCTTTTTACTTTACTATGAAAGTGTTACGAGAAAACTGTGTCGTATTAGACACATCGACCGTGTATTTCGGTCATAAAAACATTCTTGGACAATGAGCTGCAGCTCGATATGTCGCTTGTGACAAGTATCCAGCCTCACAACGTAAAGAACGTTGTGTACCTGGGTATGCGAGACAAGGACGCGGCCGACAACATTGCTTCAGCCCATCATTTGAAGCATTGTATTGAAAGTGAGGGGAAAAAGTTTCCATTACCCATCTACGTCGAGAGCAGTGCTGTTGACGTACGGATTCACGATCTCCCGTCGGATATGGATAATGTGGTTATCGTTAACCATATGCGCCAGTATGGAGAGATAATTGCAATCAGAAGTGAAGTTTGGAAAAGCTACTTTCCAGGCTTCATTAATGGAGTTCGCGTCGTAAGGATAAAGCTTAATCATCCAATTCCCTCTTACATTACTGTGGACGACGAAGTGACTTTGGTGTCATATAAAAACCAAGTCAAAACTTGCCGTAAGTGTGACCGAAAATCTCACCCGAAACAACGTTGCTCCAAAGTGGCAACAGCGGTAGCAGCAGCAAAAAAACAGAATTCACAATCGGAGATGGGGAAAAATAACACCAGCAGCGATAAAAATCACAGCAACAGTAACATCAACAACAACAACATGAAGACCAACGGCAATAGCAAGCTTGCGGACGCAGCTAAAGATAAGCAGTGGCCTTCTCTTCCTAAACCGGCAACTGATGCAGATCTACACATAAACAATAGAGCAGTGATGAACAAGCGACAAAGGTCCGTTGAATCGGAAACAACAAGCAACCATACGAGAAAAGTTAACACGAACGAACCAACTTCCAGTGATAGTGATTGCAGCCTGACCACCGTGAGTTACATTTGTCCCTACACGCAGCGACCATACAAGATCCCTTCGTTTGAGTGGATTGAAGATGAACAGCAGAAACGTGCTTTGATCGAGGATTACAAGCAGAAAGTGGATGCTTTGTACCTAGCGCAGCAAAATGAACTAGACAAAAATATTTGAATTGTTTTTTTTTATGATACTTGGCTCCTGTCTTTTTTAGACATATGAGCCTTACAAATAAACAGATTGAAAAAAAAAAATCATCTTAACAACCGTGTATTATGGCTATCATCTTCCTGAACATCCTTTCTAATTTCCTTTCTCAACTGTGAGATTCTTCAAGAACTCCCTGCCATTTTCTTTTCTACTCTACTACTATGTCACATAAAAGTTTCACTACTCACGATGGGCCCATCTTCTACCTTTGGCTGCTGCTGATGGGTGCACCTGCATCGCCGGTACTGCTTGGGTGGATGTACTTCAACGTTTCGGCCGTGGACGCACCGTGTACCGCTTCCCTCGTACGACACTACCAACTTCCGTGTTGGTGCGACACCGTTGGATTTCCGTCTAGATAGCGAGCGAACGTAATCGCTGGGGCTCACCTTGCTTCCTGCTTCTGCTGCTGTCTTCGTCCGCTGAGCTGTCACGCAAGCCAGCGCTTCTCCGCCCGGATAGCGAACGAGTGTTGCTTCACTTCGACCGTGCACGTGGACGCTCGTGTCCACACCGGTTGCCACCACTGTCGTCTTAGTCAGCACGTAGCTGCCCGAGTCTCGATCGGCCACCGATGCTCTCGTTCGTTTTCTATTGCTGCGGTCGCAAACCGAACTCCGGAATGCTAGAGGAAAAAATTAAATCAAAAGAAAGGCCCTGTGGCCAATTGAGGTTAGGTTTGGACTCATCTCACAAACCAGCACGTGACCTA